ACTTATTCCTTGGCAGGACAGGAGCGCCACCCCCAAAATAACATTACCAAACCAACAGCAGACATATGCTCCAAGTTGGCGCATAAAGCAATAAATAGAGAGCAATAAAAAACTCTGCAAAACATTGATTTCCTTTTACGGTATCTTACCTTAGTGAGCCCGCCTCAAAGCATACACCCGCACGCGATTTACTTGACCACCTATAAAGTATCCGGACACCTAGGCATTATTAGAACCCGTCTGAGTGCCAAGAGTCCGAACACCTTCAAGTAGCCATGTGTGATATGATACCCCAATAAGAAAAAGGAAAGAGTTCCATTATCCGAGGGACTGCCCAGTACCCTCTTCAAATACAGTCCAGCCCATAGATTGAGCGTTTGTCCTCTCCAGCCATCTCCGGGATTCAACCAAAGATTCTGCGCCAATTCCCATGCTCATTGACATTTGATGCACTATCCGGGTCCCTGCTTTTGAAGTCATTTGATTCCCTGCATATCGTACAATCTTAGACCCCTTCGAACAAACAACCTGCATTGGTCTAGTGCCACGGAGAGCAGTACTCAGATACCTAGGTTAGTTGGTGTGTGGGATTTCAAAAGGATGAGAATGAAGTCTACTCGAGTACGGTATAGGAAATATGTGCATGCAGGGGTATATCCATGAGCGCCTTTTACAGGTAGATGATAACCGGGAAATTTGGACGCTCTAACCAGCCCACCGGGTGCAAGTGCTTCGTTGTCGGGCTTGTTGCCAAACACTACCACAATGTCCACTGATTTTATCCCAACCCTAAATACTCCTACGGCGCATCTCCACCACCGCCCCAGATCGTACTCCCGACACCTCGGGGCATCTGTCCGGTCAGGCACTGGTATGTGTGGCCCGCCGCACTAGATAGTTATTGCTCTATAGAACGCGATAGTCCCAACAACTCGGTACCCCCCAATCTCGCTAACGAGAGGTGGAATTCTAAGGGCAAGGTGGAGCTATACGTACTGTCAACCTGGGGTCACCCGCGTCTCACATTATAGTATCGCTGAGTCATCATATAGCTTAGGGACCTACCCAGTTTCCCTATTATAAGTCAGTCGTGTCGTGGTTAAACCTGGTGCTACTAGATGTCAGAGTCCTCTAGTTCCAGGGACCAGACCAACGCTAATCCTGTACACAAATACAAAGACGCCCCTGGCAATTCGTTTAGCAGGGTTGCTTGGCATGTAAGCAACTTCCGCTGTGGAATTCGTTGGAGTCATGGGGCCAGTACCGGCCAATTTGATACGACCCGGACCCTACAAACCACTCCTTTAGCCTCAGGACAAACCGGGGCTTAGCTGATCATTGTCTCAACCACTCGCCCAAAGGCCAGAAATTAATACAGTGATGAAGGCAGTTCTTCGCGTCAGCCGGAGGCAGTGCAATACCAGCGACACAGTGGGGATCAAGCATAGCATGCCAGAGGCAAGATCCCCGGGATAAGCAAAAATGGGAGTAACCAAAGAACAAGCTCCGGAGAGCCGTTTCAGAGATTAAACTGAAAAGAACAGATACTACACTTGATCTAAGCCTGTTCAATAGTTAGAATTACTCGGATGGGACAGCGGGAGAAGTTTTGGGGAACTCACCAAAAGGCAAAGAGAGCTGAGGAAAAAAAGAGGAGAAGGAGATGGGAGTGGTGGGTTTATATAGGCAGCTTGCGGGAATGCCAAGGCTTGTGGTTCTCGCCGTTGGTAGGGGGTTAGGGTTTGGCGGAGGGATCAAACCGCAGAATTAAAGCACCACAAATAATCCCAAACCGTTCGGCAGAAATTTATTCCTTTGGATCACTTCTCTGTTTTTTTTTTTCCTCACAAGTATGTCTCCTACGAGAGCTGGCGTCTTGCCAGAAGCATACTGGACAGATGGTCAAGCCTACGCACCGGGTTAATGACTCGGTGCGAGTGCGGTCGTGTTCGGCATAAAATTACGTGTTAGGAATATGCCCTGGTGGGATATTGAAACCCATAATCAGAGGTAATTCCACTGAATTGCGACCTACTAGGGCCAAACACATCCGTCCCTCATACGAGAGGTCTAGGTAGACCTAGTTTACAGTACAGGCATTAGTAGTTCATACCGGACATCGTCGGTGGAGCATTCTTCCAATCCTTCCCACTGCACCCCATGCTTACCTACGAGTTCGATCTTAAGCGTCCCCCAAGCTCTGTTTCGGGTAGTCAAAGGCTTCGAAGGGGAAAACAAAACCAACTAGTCATGTGAAAGGGGTATAGTGCAAAAGGAAAAGGACTGAAAGGATCATCATATTTATTTCTCCCCTTGAAGTATACCTCGGTACAAGATTCCGGTGGAGGAGTTCAAGCTGTAAAGTCTGGCGGCGACGCCGACTCCATAACCCTAGCACCGCGGGAGGCAATTAGACCAGGAATTTGTTGTATTTCCAAAATTGTCTGTGCAAGCTCACTGCTACCAGCTTTATCACCTCAGGCCCCTCACCTCTACTTGACATTTCCCTAAGTGAGTCACTACCTCCCCTGCTATTTCTAAGCCAACAACGGTAATTATTGGATGTGCGGATCAAGTGCATCGTTTGCTCTTTAGCTTCAACCTCGGTAACGACTCTAGGGAACTTGGGTTTCCATTATCCCTATATATATTTTTTCCTAAAGAACTTGCCTCTTGGTTTCTATCACGATTCTTGTAGCCTCCGGGACGCCGGCTGTGTTTCCCCAACTCCAGTTGATGCTGGAGTTGATGCTGGGGATCAATGTCCCCCACTCAAGCACTCCTCGAGCGGTCAAGACTGGCAATTAGTATGCTCAAGTACCAAACCTGTGGGACCTCGAACGTGTCGATAAGCTATGATCCCGATTTTGGTCTCACTTCACCGGGACGGTATTTTGTCGGGTTTATTCCCTCCCGGTGTAAAGGGTAAAGGTGTATTAAAGTCGAATATGCTACAGAGACAATTGGGGAGAACAATCAATATGACCGATGAAGCATAGGGTGGATCTGAATAGTGAAATAGTACTAGATCCACCAATTTCTCCCAAGCTCAAGTTTATCAAAATTTCGCAATGGTCACGCACTGCAGTCGCAGCCCACAGGGAGGGATCGTAGCGGTAGGTGTTATCCATTCTGGATTATCGGCAAAGTACTACATTGGGTTATATCGTTCGATGGAGTTCGGGCGGGTCGATATATTAAAGTTACACAATCCTATATCAATAACCTGTGATTGTTCGCGAAGCCTCCCACCCGGTAGATCCGGAGAACTAGCTTTCAGCAGCTCGAATACGACACGTGTAGTATGATCTACAAATTCAAGTTCCTGGATACCATCAGAACGAGCCCACGGGGACTAAGCCAGACACTGCGCCAAGCCCCGATAATTAATGTATGGGCACGTACGAGTAGTGTACCGGTACAGGATAGTCAGAGATCATTGTGTTGGTAGGCTCCCAGTAAGTAATTTATTATCATATATGAAACTCACTTTCTTCTGGAAGATAAGAATATGAATATGCCGCAGTATATCATATAACGAGGTCCAGACCCCACCGCTGGTCACTACTGGGCGCTCTCATGCCGGCCCGGTATAACGAGTTTGCTCGCATATCCCGGAGCTCCCCAATGAATCCAACCAATCCCAACCAAACCGATGACCGAGCCTTACCCTGAAACGCAAGACCCACTATGAGACTTGGAAAAGAGCTTTATAAAAAGGTTCCGGGTGGCTGTGCCTGCTTCAATCAGGGGGGTGTGGGCTGCGACGCCAGATATCTGTGTGCTCCGGATTGTGACACAAGTTGACAGACGGAGATTTGATTGTTCTCCAGATATGAGAGAGCGGTGGTTGAATGGGTGGCACGTACGATCATACTGACAATCGGTGTTACAGGGGTGGGAGGGGTGGGAAGGGTTTCAATCACAAAGTGGTTTGATATCAAAGCCAGACCAGCCTGAGAGCTGTTCGCCAAACGAATTACGCTGAACTTCCTCACAATTACTTTTCCCTCTTGCATATTGTTTTACGTGTCTACCTTAACATCCGGAAACCATTATGATATAACCCCTCTCTCTCTCCCCTCGCCATTCTTTGCTCTACCGCCCCTCTCTTCATGATAGTGGGTCTGAGTTTCCTCTTGCAATGTTATCACTCACGGCTCCCATATTTGCCACGATAGGATCTACGACATCGCTACGAGACCGCAACACCTCCGCAAGTCATCACCCGCACACGACAGCCTAAGGGAGATACGCGGAGAAACTAGGCCAGCGAATATGGAGAAGAAATGGGAAGGTATTTCTCTAAAACCGGAGCGGGTTCAGGAGATGGTAGGCGGCACTGGTTCATGACAGAGAGGGTTCTTTGCATCCAATTTTTAGAAAATTAGAGGAGGGCGCACGGCTGGCCGTGAGCAGAAACACCCTCTCGTGAAAGAGATAGTGTTGAAAGAAAGACAGGTCACTCTTCCTTTATAATAGGTGGGAGTCGCTCGTGCTCTCTTGCGCCTTCCCCGGCTACATGAACGACGGTCGTCCAGAGAATATGGCAAAGCTAGTGAGAACAAGATACGAACTGGTGAGGTTAGTCAAGAATGACGGAGGATTGAACAGGGGGTGTGGATATGCATCTTGATTTTCTGTCGTATTTCCTGGGGGAGTAATGCGGCGAGCACAGTGCAGTCGTCGAGAACTTCACGCGCCGAACTACCGTAGCAGGCGGGTGGAAAGACAAAGGCAAGCGCGGCGATGCAACAGCCTTCTGTAGAGCACAGAGGTACTTGAAGAAAGGAAGTTCGGGTGGTAAAATGGAGATGCGACCCTTGAGCTTTGGATCGATTAGGCTAGCAAACCTATATACATTTGGTTCTCCAATTGTCTAATCCCCTGTTTCCCCCCATCGTACTCCAATTCCCTGAAAACCGCGCAACTAACAAGCCCGGTGAACCAACCCGCCCAGAGAAACAATTTCACCTTTACCGAGTGACAAAATTCCGACAATTACAGATTTTACCGAGCATTCCCAGCCTTTTTGAGCAACAAGACAATCCCACCTGTCGCGAAGTCTCCTGGAAGTCTTACTTCATCCCTTCCCTATAGGAGCCCATCTGGCTGCTACCGCCTACCACTGAATCCCTATCACGAGCTCTGCCGTTTCTCCAATTTCTAGGAAACCACCTCTGTCTCTTCAACCACGAAAACGTGCGGATGCCGGGGGATCGCCGGTGACCCAAGACATTAACACCCTGCTCCACTTCCACCTGACTGGCCCTCTCGGAGGGGGGTTGCTGCTCTCGTAATAACTTCAGCCGACTGACATATTCCAAAGTAGTGAGTTCCTGTTCACTAAGTGTTTCAGCGAACCCCCCGTAGGCCTGCTCATACGCTTCTGCGGCTTGAGAGTGCTGCGTTTGTTCCCCGTCAAGGCAGGTCAGACGCTCAAGGGCTTCACAGGCTTTTGAGTTCTCCGTGCCGGGTCCGCCTTCCTGAACCACCAGTCTACGCTGAAGTAGCTTTTCTCTCTCAGCATGCTTTCCCTGGCCTTCAAGTACTAGGGCTAGGTTGTCGATAGCAGACAGTATACCACGGTGAGTTATTCCCAAGGCCCTCTCGGTAGCCTCTAGCGCACGACGAGCCAGTGCCTCTGATTCGACGTACTTTTCCTGTCTCAGAAGTAGTTTAGCCAGGTTGCCAACCGCTCGCAAAGTATCGGGGTGTTCCAGTCCAAAGCCCTTCTCACACTCCTCTAATACGCGTCGATTCATTACCTCTGATTCATCGTACCTCCCTTGGTCCCGCAGCACCAGAGCCAGGTTGTTGGCAGCCATCAAAGTGTCAGGGTGGTCAGATCCAAGACATTTCTCGTACCCCTCCAATGCGCGGCGATTCATAGCCTCCGATTCATCGTACCTCCCTTGATCCCGTAGCGCCAGACCCAGGTTGTTGGCAGCCATCAAAGTGTTACGGTGGTCCAATCCAAAAACCTTCTCGTACCCTTCCAATGCGCGTCGATTCATCGCCTCTGATTCACTGTACCTCCCTTGCCTCCGCAGCGCCCGAGCTAGGCTAGTGATAGTCGCTAAAGTGTCAGGGTGGTCAGATCCAAGGCTCTTCTCGAGCCCCTCCAATGCGCGTTGACTCATCACCTCTGATTCATTGCACCTGCCTTGCCTCAGCAGCACCAGAGCCAAGCTGCTTACAGCCCATAAAGTGTGGGGATGGTTGGATCCGAAAGCCTTCTCCACGTCCTTAAGTACCTTTTGAAATACTAACTCCGCCTCTCTGGCTCTTCCTTGGAGCTCGTATACCTCTCCTAAGAGCATAACCCGAGTGTAGGTCTCCCCATCCCAATCCCGTTCTTTATCCGCCTCTCGAAGCGTAATACATTTGCGGAGTCGAATCTCTGCATTGTCATAGGAACCCATTAATACATAATGGAATGCCATGCGATAGACAAGACCCTCGGCAATTGTATCGGTTGAATCTTTAGTTAATACTAGTGCATGAGAGATGTATGCAGCACAAATATACCGCCGTTTGTACTCATACTCAGGGAACAGCTTTGAGACAGCCCGCAGAGCGGCCGCCCTCCCTTGCTTTGCCTGTTCTACCGTCAAATATGCTTGAATAGACAGTTGGACCAAGCGATGAAGTTCGTAAAATGTTGTGCCTTCGTATCTGACCTCGGTAACCAATGAGAACCTCAATAGTTTCCCAATCGCTTGACAAAATTTAAGTGAATCATTCATGCCCTCCAGTCCGGAGTGAGTCAGCACCTCCTCGGGTATGTTCTGACGGTCGAGAGATGCAATTAGCCCGAGAAGTTTTACCGTCAGGGGCATCTGTTCCGTGATTCGGTCAAAAGTGATAAAGTATGTGCCGAGAATGCTTTCAGTCATATCAACCTCTCGTTGGATGTCGCAAAACTGCTCCAATAGTAGCGCTTTTGTTCGACTATCGTTCTCCTGGAAAATAGTCCAGTAAACTGAGGGTGATGTCCCGTTCTCGGTCATGAAAGCTGCTGAACCCACGACAGCTAGCGGTATGTGACCCACCGACTCCAAGATCATTGAAACAACCCGTTTCTCTTCATCTTCCAAATCGTTCCAGCTACCAAATCGTTTCGAAAACAGATCCTGAGCCTCTTCCACTGCCATCCTGTCAACCTTGATGATCTTACAGCCCTGCCGAGTCGCAACCTGTTGAGATCTGGTGGTGAATATCACAGTCCCTTTACGCCCTTGCGGTACAAACTTGGCAATGGAGCTATTGTTTCCAATAAAGTCGGCGTCATTGTCGGCATTATCAATGACTAGGATCCAGTCACCGCTATTAGGGCCTTCGAGCCACGTCCTTGTATGCCGGAGCAATCCCTCTTCGTCTGTCTCAACGTTCGCTAGAGGAATTTGGACATGCTGTGCAATAGCCTCAAAACCCTCCCTGAATTTTAATATTCCACTTCCCTGCACCCAGAAAACATTACAACGGTCTTCGCTGGCGCATTGGTAAACGTATTCTAGGGCAATCTGAGTTTTTCTAAGCGACATCAGTAAACCCTTCATAAAGTGAAAGAATAAATACGTACCCACAACCGCCCAATCCATGGAGTGCGACACGGTCATGAGTGGAGCTGTTGCAAAGCCCTTTTATCGACTCAATGAGGCTTTTACGGCCAGTGAATGTACTGTTCCTGCTGTAGGGAACCATCCAATGCGGTCTGGATACTTCTCTCAGTTCTAATAACTTATCAGCTTCCGGACGGGAATCTGTAGAAAACACCAATACCTCCGCTCTTAGCCCTCACTCTCCGCCCCTCATTCCTCTCTCCCAGATTGGTAATATCACTGGGCGTCTGCATGTTCCAGATAATATTACCACTCCCGATGACATTGTTGTTACCCCTATTCCCGTTGAAGTTTCCGTCGATACTAGATTGTACCCGGCCAGTTCTACTAAAGAGTATTAGAAGTGTGATGTACTCGACTATTAGGATACGGATACCCACCCATCTATCACCCTGTTACTACTTTCAGCCCGCTGGGAGGTCATATTTGAAGGTTGGATACCGCGCTAACGAGCTGTAGCTCGCTTGTTTAAAAGAAAAATGGCTATCGTCTTGTCGCTTATCGAAATAGTCGAAAACTATTCTTTCGCAAGCCCAGGAATGGGCCGAAAGCTTCGAGCGCGCTCGAGCGCGAACCTAAACTCGGAGATGGGAGTGAATGACTCCGTGATTTCTATTCTACCGTGGGGGAATCCTAGCTACTGGTAGCGGTGCTTGAGTCTAGGAAAAGTCAAAAGTTTTGGTATAATGTAAGCGAATACCGGGCTAAGTGAAGGAGCCTGGAGCTTGGGATCCGGAAAACTGAAGCAGAGGTTGGAGTTGGGGGAGGAAAGGCGCTTGGGGTTGGGGAGACTGTGTCACACGCCGACGGCGGATTCAGCTCTCGGTAAATTTCAGTTCCGACAGGCGATTGGTTCAGCCGGCAGGAATCCAGACCAGGGCAAGTTCTGGTCCGGGTAACTTAAATTTAAACCAGGGGTAGCGGTCGGTGGATACCGGCATTCGCTCTTCTCCGCGGAATATCATACAAGAAGCAGTCTCAAGATCCTCACAATGTAGGGCAGATTCCCGCAGCGTGCAGTACGAGTACCGGCACTCTACTCGCACTTTTAGCCCACTCTGCGTAGCTCGGTTAGCCACGGTTACCGAAAATACAAACCCTAAACCGATCCGATGCGCCTGGTGGATGAAGAGAACTGATTGACCTCATCCCGAGGTGAGGCCCTTGCATATCATCCTGCTCTTCTCCCAACAGATATTTCCGAGGCGGGACATGCATGCAGCGTTCAAAAAATCGATCCGACAGCTAACTTATGCCACAGGTCGGCACATTACACAACAAACCTAGACCAACAAAAATTCCTCAAAACACCTACTTACCCCTTCGTACCAAAGCGAACCCACCTCAAATCCGGAACGCGCGCGTAGCCCACAAAGTGCGACACCTCAATAAAACGATTTCCATCATCCAGATAGCTACCCAATACCCACTTTGAATACAGGCCAACCCACAGACCAGGGGTTCGCCCTCTCCATGCATCCCGAGCCTTCAGCCAAAGCTTCTACCGGTAATCCCGCTCATTTAGGGCCCACCGATATCTAGTGCACTATCAAGATCTTTCCCTCTAACCCAGAGTTATTTTGGTTCTCTTATCCTGCACTGCAGACAGTACGGTACTGTGCTAGCACAATCTTGGGATCCTTCCAGAACAAAAAATTGGCATCCATTCAATGCCTTCGACAGCAGTACCCTCATACATTGGTCGCCATGAACAGGATTTCGAAGGGATGGAAACGGGGTTTATAGGCTATATGTGTATGCATGGGTATATCTGTGAACACTTTATAGATAATACTTGTGATTGGTAAATCTCGATATTCTAATCGACCTGCCGAGCTCGATTGTTACTAAATGCTAGCCTCATGTCTACGGAGGGTCCGTGGGTTTTGTCCCAGCCCCAAGTACAGTACAGTACATGTCCACCACCGCCCTGATACCCCAACGCTCCGGGAAGTATCGCGGGTTAGGCACTGCCATAAGTTATGTATCCTGCCACAATGGGTAACCATCCCCCCTTTCAAGCGGATTAGTCTCAACCACCCAGTAACCCCCCAATCTCGCTAACCAGGGATCAGGTTCTAAGTGCAAGGTGGAGCTGTAGTGCCAACCTAAGGTCGACCTTGCCTTCCATTCTGGCGTCGCTGAATCATTTCATAGCCTAGGGACCTACCGAATTCCCTACGGTAGGTAAATTAGATTATCGGTGGAGTCGGGATGGTAATGGAAATTATGTGGGTTCTTGTTGCGGGAATGGGGTTGTGTCGCGGCTAATCTAGTGCTACTGGAAGCCAGGGTCCTCCATTTCCAGGGAACTGATCAACCCTACTTATGTGTACAAATACGATACAAGGACACCCAAGATGATTCGTTTAGTGAAGTTGCTATTATATGTGGGCAACCCTCACAATAAAATTCACCAGCGCTACCACACCAATACTGGCCAGTTTGATGCGACCCAGACCACACAAATCACCGCTTTAGCATCAGAACAGCCGGTTGATAGCCCATCATTATCTCAACTCCTCGCCTAAAGGCCAGAAATCAATACAATGATGAAGGCAACTCTTCGCGTCAGCTGGAGACAGTGCAATACCAGCGACACAGTGGAGATCAAGCATAGCATGCCAGAGGCAAGATCCCGGGGTAAACAAAAATAGGAATAACCAAAGAACTGGCTCCGGAGAGCCGTTTCAGTGATCAAACTGAAAAGAACAGATACTACACTTGATCTAAGCCTGCTCCATAGTTAGTATTACTCGGACGGGACAGCAGGAGAACTTGTGGTGAGCTCACCAAAAGGCAAAGAGAGCTGAGGGAAAAAGAGAAGAAGGAGGTGGGAGCAGTGGGCTTATATACGAAACTCTAGGGAATGCCAAGACCTTTGGTTTTCGCCGCTGGTGGGGGTTAGGGTTTTGGGGGGGGTGCAGGACTGTAGAATAGGAAATGCTAGAAATAATCCCAATGCCGCCCAGCAGCAATTGATTCCTTGGGGTGACTTCTCTCGGGTTCTGGTTTCTTAAAGTATGTCGCCTACTTGGGCTGGTGCCTTACCACAGGCATATCAAATAGGAACGCATTGAGTCAATGACTTGGGGCAAGTGGAAAGGCATTCAGAACGTATAGGTGTCCATCAAACTTACACATGTTGGCAATGGGTACTGGTGGGACGGTGAGGCCTATAACAAAAGGGGATAGGAGTGAATTTCGACATGCTACAGCCAAACACATCCGCCCCTCATATGAGAACTCCGGGTGCACTTTGCGCATCCTGCTTGGCATCGGTAATCTGTGCCAAACACCACCGGTGTAGAAACATTCTAAATGAAATTGAGCGTACCTACGGGTTCGATCTTAAGCATGGCCAGCGGTCCGTTTTGGGTATGATACTCAAAGGTTTTGGGGAAGGCAATGTAGCTCGCCAATAATGTGAATGGGCTATGGTGCAAACAAATTTGTAGTAGTGGCGCAGCCTTAAGAGATGAAAGAATTGTTCAATCAAGCATACAGAAGAAAGAAGAGCTGATCCCCAAATCCTACCTCAATGCAAGATCGAGGAATTTATCGAGTGACAACTTGTGAATTTTGGCTGCGGCGTCGACTTCACTAACCTAGCCCGCAAGAGGCAATTGGGCCGGCGCTTCCTGGTATTGTTGGAGGTGTTCATGACCGTATGATGTCACCAAAAGTCTCCAAGAAAGTTCACCACACCTAGTTTCATCCCCTTCTCTCCCCGATTCCCTTGGCATTTTCGTAGGCCAGACATAGCCTTACCTTCTATTTCTGGGCCAACCATGATATTCACCAAACTGGCAGAGCGATAGTAATGTTTTCTCTTTTCAGCAACAGGTTGCCAAGGCTCACAATTGGTATAACACTGCACCAAATCGTTAAAATCCCAAAATACAGTTAAGGCATGATACCCGTTTGAGTTCCACACCGCTGCGGCAGGCTTTGGCCGGATTTTTTTTTTCTCTTTCCCTCTTAATGTAAAGGTCAAAGGTACATTAAGAGCTGAATACATTATGGAGACCGCGGAGAAGAACGATGGCCGGGATGATTGATTCGAACGTGGGGTAGGTCCCAGTAACTTAGTGTAATAGTGTTCCAAGCTTAACTTTACCAGGATTTGCAGCGGCCACAGTCCTTGAGCCATTGCATGCAGGGAGGTATCACAGGACCGAATACTACCCATGATGCCCGATACCGCCAAAAAAAAAAAAGTGCTATATCGAATTGTATCGTTCGTCGTAGCTAGAGGAAGTAAATATATTCACAATTATGCAAGGTTCTAGCAATAACGGGGAGTCGGCCATGAATCCTCCAACCGGGAAAACATGGAGAGATAGCTTTCAGTATGATAGCTCGGTATGATAAGTACAGTATAATATATAAACGAGAGCCTCCGGATGCCACAAACGAGAGCCCATGAGACTAACTTAGGGGTCACGCCTAGCCCCAATAATTAATGCATGAGTACAGAATAAGGTAAAGGACTGCCGGTAGAATTATTATATCATACTCGCACAGTCATCAAGCCATTGTTTAAAATAAAAATATTCTATACCCTAGAGCATCGCATTGCGAGATCCGAACTCCACTGTTGATCACTACGGGCGGCTCACCTCACCGCCCCGCCAAGATTAAGGGGCTTGCTGGCATATCACGGAAGTGCCCTAGCAAATACAACCCCAACCAGATCGGTTCCCGGGCCCTACTCCTAAACGCAAGACCCGCTGTGTTTTGGAAAAGAGATTCATAAAGGTTTCCGGATGGGGATGTCAGCTTTAGTCGGAATGCGGTGGTCTATGATGCCTGATATTTGGTTATTCCGCGGTGCTACACGAGTTGACAGACGGAGATGCAAATATTTCTTAAATAGAGGGGAGTGATGGCTATATGTATGGCACGCACGGTTTTTTTCCTTCGATCTCTGTGTTCCTGAGAGTTAAGGGTAGAAGGGCTTTCTGCTTTAGGGGGTATCATAGCTAGAGAGGCGTGAGAGAGGGTCTTGGAACCAATGACGCAGATCATCGTTACCCATCTCCTTCCCTTTGTATGATACAGTTCTTTCATGCGCCTACCTTAATTAATTCCCAGATAACCATAATTCCTCTCTCCCCGAGTCCCCTCAACCATCCCTCCTGATATACTATTTGGAGATAGAATCGGTATATTGATTATTTCAGCTCGGTTTAGAATGCTTGTCTATAAATACAGAGGAGATTTCCTCTAGTGTAAGGCCATTAAGGGAAGCTTGAAATACAAACTTAAAGTAACTAATATTGCTATCTATATCTATATCACGCCTCTATTGCGACAGTGACTTGGAAGACGCATTTTGTGAAAAAAGAGATGCGAATGGAAACTAGGCCAGCGAATGAGAAACAGGGAGGAAAGGTATTCCTCCGGAACCCGAGCTGGTTCAGGATCGGGTAGAGCTACGATGGTTCACGGTGAGGGGGCATCCCCGCATCCAATTTTTATATAAGTATAATTCGAAACGTAAAGCAAGGCGCAGATCTAGCGGTAAACAGGAACACGCCCTCATTGATAGGCTGGTATTAGAAGAAAGGCCGGTGACAATTCGTTTATGAAGGTTGCGAATCACGTGCACTCACTCGAGGCTCTACTGACTACGGTAAGAACTCGAATAATTGGACCGTGCGCGATGTCGTTAGGCCTTCCTCTCTTAGTATGGTCAGGAAACATTTGATTTTTATGTCTCCGAAGGGGGAAAGAGGCTGTGTTTTTGCGGTATTTTCTGCCCCCTTTCCAAATAATGGAATTTGGGGCTGCATAGCACACCGTCCAATTACCCACGTTCTTACAGCACATGACCCTGATGCTAGGGAGGCCAGTCAAGAGTGATAAAGGGTGAGATAAGAGGTGCGGATGTGAATCAGAACTATTTGCCGTGTTATCCAGGTGCGTGATGTGGCAGAAGTAGGAATTTCCCAATCATCACGAACTTAAGGCGCTCAAGCAGGAAGCCGGTAGGGAGACAGGGGCGGATGCAGAAATGTAGTGGAGTCTTGTGTGGAGCACAGAAGGGATTGAGGGAAGAAAGTTCGGGCCACAAACGGCAGTCCGGCCCCTGGAGTTTAGATGGATCGGCCAAATCTAAGTATTTCCACATTTATATAAACTTGATTCCACAACTGCCCAACCTCCCCTATGCTCAGACTGCACCCTATCCCCCCCGCATTGTATAACAACAGGTGCGGGAAACCACCTCATTTATAGACACAATTCCTCCTCTAATAAGGGATGGAATTCCAGACAGTTACCAAATTTTCCCAAACATACTAAGATTTTACCGGACATGCCCAAAAATTTTCAACCTCCACTAAGCAATTCCATCTATTGCGAATTCCCCAAGAAGGCTCACTCCACCCTGTCCCTACGGAGGTCTGTCTAGCTACCCCCGCCCATCTCCGAATCCCTATCACAAACTCCACCATTTCCACAAGTTTTTAGGATATCACCGAACTCTCTCCAGCCACGAGAATGCGGGGTCGCCGGGTGACTGCTAGTGGTTTCCGACATCAGTACCCTGCTTCGTTTCCACATGACTGGGCCTCGTGGAAAAGGGCTATCGCTCTCGTAATAACCTCAACTTCCTAGTACATTCCAAGGTAGTGAGGTGCTGCTCACCGAGGGTTTTAGCGAATCCCTTATAGGCCCGCTCGTAAGCCTCTTCAGCTTGAGAATACCGGTCCTGTGTCTCATGTAGGCGAGCCCGGTGCTCGAGAGTTTTACAGACATTCAGGTGCTGTGGACCGAGTGCGGTTTCGCGAGCTGTCAAGACACGTTGAAGTAGTTCTTCCGTCTCACCATACTTTGTCTGAGCTTCAAGCGCTAGAGCTAGGTTGTCAATCGTGGATAGTACACTAGAGTGAACTGTGCCCAAGGCTTTCTCTCTGCCTTCTAGAGCACGCCGGGAGAGTAACTCTGATTCGATGAACTTTCTCTGCTTTAGCAACAGTATAGACAGGTCATTGGCAGCTTCCAGAGCCCGAGGGTGGTCTGACCCTGATGCCTTCTGATACGCCTCCAATACGCGGCGATTCATCACCTCTGCTTCCCCATACTTCTCTTGCTTCTGCAGCACCAAAGATAGGTTGTTGGCAGCCATCAGGGTATTAGGGTGGTCCGATCCAAAACATTTCTTGTACCCCTCCAGTGCACCCTGGTTCATTACCTCCGATTCTTCGTATCTCCCTTGATCCCGCAGGATCAGAGCCAGGTTATTGATAGCCCTCAAAGTCTGAGGATGGTCCGATCCAAAACATTTCTCGTGCCCCTCCAATGCGCGGCGGTTCATCGCCTCAGATTCCGCGTACCTCCCTTGTACCCGCAGCATCAGAGACAGGGTGTTGACCGCCATCAAAGTGTCAGGGTGGTCTGGCCCAAAAAACTTCTCGTACCCCTCCAATGCGCGGCGATTCATTACCTCTGATTCTTCATATCTCCCGAGATACAACAGCACCGAAGCCAGGTTGTTGATAACCGCCAAAGTATTAGAGTGGCCCAATCCAAGACTTTTTTCATATCCCCTCAATGCGCGGCGATTCAACACCTCGGATTCACCGTACCTCCCTTGCTCCCGCAGCACTAGAGCCAGGTTGCTGACAGCCCTCAAGGTATCAGGGTGGTCTGATCCAAGACATTTTTCGTACACCTCCAATGCGCGGCGATTCATCGTCTCCGATTCTTCATACCTCC